AATACCGACTTCGTGACTCTGAGCCAGCCACCTCTGCCATCTTTGGTTCAAATCCAGGCAGGGATCCAAGACCATCGACAGTGCTGAATTGGAGTGTATAGTATTTATGTCAGTCGAGTCGCCAGCAACTACACGAAACACTGCCGGAAACTTTGGCTGTTCACTTAATTCGGTCACATCTCAGCTCAGGGTCAGGACTGATATTGATAACAATTTGAGCAAAACGACATGGGAAAAACTACTTTTTACGGAGCATAAAGTTGGACAGTTTAATACAAAAAAAAAATCAACATTAACCGATACATTTTTGCACTGGGACATCCAGCCTCCAACGACGAGCACGCGCCCTGGGCGACGCGATGATGACGAGGGCTGACCGCGATGACATCACCGATCCAGTTTATTGGAAGTCTCTTGTGACCATAGGATTTAATTATGCAAACGTCGTGCGATTTGTACGCTATTTATCGCGTTTGTTTACTCAAATAAATAGTAGCCAGATTCATCGGTTATTTCAAGAGAGGATAGCTCTACAAAAGCGACATCCCATGCTGGGTAACAGAGGCCTACCCCAAGCAACTTTGGTGGTTGTTCTTCTGCATTGTCACCTTCTGGGGCTGTGCCTGACTTGTGCCGTAACACTGTGCTGACTTCGAGATTCAGAAGGAAGCTTTTATCTCTCGTGAGAATACTTCCGAAGAATAATAACAATAAGATAAGGAATACTAATAATAAAAAAACACTGTCAAAGCAAATATATGAGTTATTTAAAGGTGTTTCTATGTACGAGGAAATTATAAGCACTGACCTCTCTCCTACTATAATTCAGAGAGAGTTTCTAGAAGGCACCTTTATTAACAACTTTCACGGTCTCATCCACACACTTTCCACAGTAGCTCTGCCTAAACTGTACACAACACTAGCCGCCTAACACTGACGGCGCTGACTGAGATAGCCAACTACTCTCCTTCGTAGCGCAATGTCTAGCGGAGACGATATGCGACGACGGCGACGAGACCATTCCCAGAACCGGCAGCCTCGAGCTCCCCGCTCTCGGCTCCTTTTATGCTCCCAGCCTGGCTCCGACCTGACCGCGCCTCCCTTCTTGAACCCGCTATAAGGTTCCAGGGGCCTCCAGATGGGGTCCTCCGTGACCCTTACCCTAGTTCCTCCCCTCTGCCAACACACACCGTGCTCACGCTCACCGGCGTGTGTATTGTCTGTCCACCACAGCTGCCGCTGTTGTCCACCAGCCAGCGCTATGACATGACATATATATGAAGTGTGGACAACTAAAAAAAATACTAACACAATGGGGTGTACTCACAGATAGCAGGAAGGCATTCATCACATCATGCATACCATGTGACCACCACAATTTGCATATACAATGCTCTCAGCTGTGTGCTATGACGAAGGCCATTTCCAGAAAAGTTGCCGACTACACATAAAACAAATACTATTTTTATTTTAAGCCAGTGTTGTTGACGAGTGTGTTGATTTTTTGTTGTTGACTGTGCTTGGTGCACCACTGCCAACGCAGCAGCAATCACCAATTGACGTATTAAACTTGTCTTGTGTACTCAACAACACATACGACAGATTAGCACACCCCTTCAAACACGCACCATCACCTCCTGACACACTGGTCACAAAGGTATCAATTCCCTTTATTAATTGACAATTCTATTGGTAATCATATCCTCTCACAGCGCAAGATTGTTCTTATCGCCCGCAGTATTTGTCTTGTAAACTGCTTCATATGGAACGTTTAAACAGATATGATTCAAAAGCTATTAGCACCACAGATTTTTGAATACCTGGCAGGTACAAATAGTTGTCATTGGCATCCATACAATGTAAAATAACACACAGCAGTGGTCCGAGTACGAGGGCCGTGCCAAAAGCTTGTCGTCATAATGGAGACATCATTGAATTTCCGACAAAAATAGAAACGAGAAATCCAGCGCTTCTGCCAAACCCTGCCGATTTGGCACCATGTGAATCCTTCTTGTTTTCAAGATTTTAATAAAACACTCCGGCATCGCAGTTTTCACAACAAGAACGCCGGTGATACAGCAATGAAGGACTCACGGTCATCCGTGTCCAAGCATGGCGTAGAATGCTGCGCTTAAGGCACTGGCAGAATGCGGAAACATGCAGTAAGTTTGTCGCTCATTCGTACGGAAATGTTCTGCAGTCTTCCACTTCTGATACTAACATTAAATACTTTTAAGGACAGCCATTGTAGTTACAATGGGGAACAATGATTAGCACGGTTGGCTATGTGCGGTGCAAAAGAAGTTCAACACACATAATGCAATATGAATCCGGCTATCCGCGTTAAATTCCCGGCCAAGGTCAGCACAAGTGGCGGGTGCTATCTGAACCCATCCTGTACTTCACCTGCTGTTTTACCAAGCTGCACTGACCAGCAAGGTGATGTAAGGTAATCAATTAATTATTTAATTTTATTTATCAGTTAAAGCCCACTAAGCTGTATGCTCTTTCTAAGAGGTGACCTTGGCACATATGACAGCTCATCAAAGTGGCTTATATCATATATGGTTATTTATAGTAGCAGTCAAATAATTTTAACACGTTTCTAAATGTGGATGGAAAATCCACGCGACCACGGGGAGAGAGAACACGCAAACTCCAAATATACAGGCATTGTCAAGGATGGGATCAAACCCATGACATCCTGCTTACCAGGCGACTTAGATAACATTTCGTCACTGCAGCGCCCCCATGACCAACACAGCATTGGGGGTGGAGGTGGCCTATCAATCCAGGCAGTGGATTGACAAGGGGCTCTAAGTTACTCTTAATATATTGAAATTACATGGTCTATCAAGTTTTGCGTTGAATAGGGATCCGTCTGAATGATACAGCAATGTTTAACTCGACTATAACTTGCAGTCTTATACACACACTGCTGGATTATACTGGTATGGAAAGCCAATCGGGAGATAGACTGAAATTTTTTTTTAATCATGTGGAGAAATAGTATAGGATTCTGCTTACATAATATCGTTAACTTGAAGTTTCTCAACATTCCAGAAACTAAATCACCGCGTCGTCTGTCTCGAGAGGAGAATTGTGCAAACACGCTGGGAAAGCAACAGCTGTTGTTCAGCCACACGTGGCGGTCGCTTGAAAGGTGGCCAATGCACCAAAGCGCGCAGGGGGGTGCGACGGGTGGGCATGCGGATGGCAGGAAGCGGAATCAGACACTTTCGGCCGGTTTACCTGTCTGTCCTGTGCACATGGCTGTGCCGAGGTTGACCATGGGTTGATTTGCAAGCGCAAGAAGCGGTGGGCAGAGAAAGGAATAAGAGCAAGAATAAAAAAAATGGGGGGGACACGCAGAGAGAGGCATTTCAGATTTGCGTCGTCTCACCGAATGGGTTCCAATGCTGCGGCGACCGCGTTTGCCAACATGCGGCATGAAACTCAAGCTGCTGCTGCTGCGCATGCCGTGATTCACCAAATGCGGTGAAATGCAATGATTCACTAAACAAGGTGAAGAGCATGTGTGCTACATCAAATTGACACTAATAGCCTCTTGTAGCGTAACAAGCTCGTTTTATTACATAAACCAAGAAAATGGAATTAACTGCTACGGAGGAGAAAATGCATTCAGATAACTCTGTCAGTTGATGTGCAAAGTTAAAAAAGCAATGGCCACATTTGCCTTTGAGAATGGTGTTTATAGAGCTGCACTGCACGATGCTTGTCATAAACTCTAGCATAAATTAAAAAAAAACCCACATTGTGTTTTTTTCCCCTTCTGATCTGATTTATTATGTGTAGCGCTAGACAGCAAGGCGTCTCACAGACACGTCCCCTCAGAAGGCAGAAAGGGAAAAAAGTGGACACCGCAAAAGGCTCCTCGCTCCACAGAGCGAGGTCCTCGTTAACTCCTCTGGTGAACTTGTCCACACCAAGCTCAGCAGCCGCATTCGTGCACCCCAACAGCGACCCGTACGTAGATTCATGTGTGGCCGCAGCAATGGTGAGTGGTGCATTTACTCGAATTACCTATCTCAATTCACGCTTTTGATTCCGACAATTTTATACCGTACACCCGCCTGTATCTTCATATGTCCGTGTTCCCTGCATGTTTGTGTGTTTTTCGTTTATCGAACTGTCAGACTATCACTGTTCCTCAACGAACCAAGAGAGAGCCGATTTAGTTATATCTTTTACGACAAACCTAGCAAGTGATATTGATGTTGAAGACACATTTTAATTCGAACCGGAAAAAGTTAAATGTAAGCCCATGTTTTTAATTTGGCATTTCGGATAAGACACCAGTATTGACCATGATGAATCACAACATCAGTTTGTTTCTACCACGTGGTTATATAAATATTCACTGTGTTTTGGTTAATGGTCAATATTAACACCACCTAGAAATGAGAAGGTGAACACAGCAGGATCCAACCCACTGACTGACACATTGTTTAACAGAGTGAATGCATTGTCTCGTAAGTTACACAGCCACCCCAGGGGAGGCCATACTCACATACACTAAAATATTTGCTGTTTAGATTATCTGTGCAGAATTGACACATTGTTAATATCGAGCTGGTAGTCCCAACCAACGATGGCAAAAAACATACTAAAGTGCATCACTTTATTTGGAATATTCCAGCTATAAAAATATTGTAATTTTCTATTTCCACTCACATGAGGGAACAGTAGGGATTGTAAAAGGTGTTTCCGCCCCTTTGTGTGGAGAAATAAGCCAACTGAATTGACTTGGGAAATAGTTCCGTAATGTCATATTGCAGGGCCTGGTTTGTGAGAGATGTGAATGGAAATGCCTTCAACTTGGCAATTGGTTGTGATGATACACGTTTCGTTTCTGCAGGGCATCTGATTGTCATTCATTTAGTTTGGCACTCCCGCTTATATATATGATCCATGCTCTGCTTTTCTGTGACAGAGAAGGAAATATAATTTAAAGACAACCGCCACGTGGAGCAACTCACCTGCGAGCTGTGGCAAAGGAGAAGTGAGCCGGAGCGCTTGGTGAGAAGCTGCGTGGGCTGTCCAGAGGACTCCCTCCTGCACACACACAGACACAAAGATACCCCATATAGCCTTAACAGACGTTTGGGGCAAGTGCTGTTAGCGAGGTCCGAGAGAAGGGCCGGCACGGCACGCGAGGGGGGGGGGGAGGTCAGCACCACGCCCGGCCGCCTTTTTCTACCCCAGTGGCGATGTTTACACACCGCACCAGGTGCTTATTTGAGGCTAATTCGACCTAGGGGAGGTCCAGGACCTGTAAAGACAATCGTCACTGGCGTTGGCCGTGAGCAGAAATCGAACTCGGGTCACTGGGTTCGTAGTACAACACGCGGAGTTGTTTCACTCCCGCTCCCCACACACACACACACAGAGGATAAAACACACGCATGTAAGCATTACATGCATTATTGCGTGTCAGTTAGCCCCTGAGCTAAGGCGGTCCGTCGGTACCATTTGGGGTGGTAGATAGTACCAGTGTCCACCATGGGCAGTATCCACATGGGCAGAATCCTTAAGGTGAATGACATCCGTTTAATAGAGACACTTTATTTTTGTATTCCGTACATGCCGGGTAAAGATGCGACATTGAGCCAACGTTGCAATGCGGTTGGAACCGCTGGGCCAACGTTCCCACGTTTAGTGGGTGCATTGCACAGCGTACGTTTTCTTTTCCGACAACATTATTCGCTATCAAACGTATTACTATGGTATCGTTTCCATGATCTTTTCTCATAAAAAAGCAACCTGTGAACTTGCTATCATACATATTTGTGATCGAGAGATCTACAGATAAAATACTCCCACCAAAATAACTGTTGGCAGCTGCCATCCTAGGGTGGCTCCGATCACCATGTTTTGGATACTGCATTGGCAGTGGTGCATAAACACAAACAATGACAAACTCACATGAAAGGATACAAATGTATAATAGGAGACGTTTCAGGCAATGGTCCTTCAATGTGCTTTGAAGAAGGGTAATTGCCCAAATCGTCACCTATTACATATATTTTGTTACGTGTTATGGCAGTGTTATTGACGAATTTGCTAAATATTACAGTACACACCGCACCAGTAAATGTATCGTGGACGTCTCTTGTACTGTACGTAGCCAACCGTGTTAATCAGAGGTGCGGGGGAAGGACAAAAATCAGGGGTGCGGGGGAAGTACAGTGATGATGATGATAAACTGTAGTAGAAGTCTGAACATGGCACACTGTGGTATAAATCCTCCTGCAGCTAATAAGACAGAAACGGTAAGGCCATTTTGCCTCACTGATTATCCACAGCCAGAAAATGGCCAATTGATTTTGTGCTCAATTCCAGATGTTTTTCGGAAGATACAACCCAAGCAAAGATTAGAGTTAGGCACAGCAGGCTGTCCAACAAGAGTCTCCTTAACGAGAAGAAGGAAAGGACATTGAAGTTATGGTCAAGTGCGTCATTATGGTCCTCTAGTGATGTCACTGTGACGTCACTTCGCTTATGTTCAACAGAATATTGAGACGGCTAATACGATGGAGTGCCTGACGCCGATTCCATTTTCTTTCAAACTCATATCGGACACCACGGGATACGCATGTCACAAACCACTGTTATCCATAAAACAAAGGGGTGGGGAACCGAGGGCCTTCGAGTCACACACGGCCCACTAGTTCATTTCATATGGCCACATGGCCGCACGAGGCCTGCCATCCCGAAAACAGCCCGCAAACGATAATAATCCATCACTGGACGCACATTAGCTGCACTAACCAGATAATAGAGGGGTAAAGTTTGGACATGGCAACGCCGCGTTTTTAATCTCAGCAATACTCAGTCATTCTGTCACTCCAAGGGGCCTCCTTAATTGGATAACGCCAAGGCGTGTGTTCATGCGTTGGCTAAACCACAAATTTTTGAAATTCCCCTTCAGCCCTGAGCGAGGAAAAGGTTCGCCCACCCCCTGCTTGTAAAAACGGAGCCACACGAGGTCACCAGTCAAGCAGCGGAGCCGTGTCATGGGGCTGCGGACCCAACGCCTCTGAAGACAAACGACCGCCACTCGGCATTAAGCCGAGCGCTCTGGAACTAATTCACGTCGGAGACGGGTAAACGTGAAGAACGCGATTAGGCTCTGGCATTTTGACAAAGGGCGGACTCTTTTTATTTCATTACATCCTGGGGGGAGGGGGGGCGCGGCGGAAACATTACGTACCGATGCCCTGGTACAAATGAACTTTTCTTCAAAGTGTGGAAAAGTAGGCCATGCATAAGATAACCATTTGTGCACAAATGACAATGTGAGATTAGTTTCACATTGTTAACATTTTGAGCTAACTACATTCAAGTTGAAAAGAAATCTGTTGAGTCTCGGTGTATCGGTGCGGGGTGATTCTGAAGCTGGTGGGCATGAAAAAGCCTGCCAGTTTGACGCCCGCCATCTACTTCAGTACAGTACACATAGCACAACCTAATGATCCGTGGCGTTGTGGTGAAATGTTTGCATATTGGCTGCTTATCTCGTTTGTTGCTTAAATTCCCCACAATGAGATGAATAATTATTTTGTTAAAGGGACAGGATCCTTGTGATAACATTTGGCAGTTCACCAGCATTGAATCAAGCGAGCCTGACTCTGCTGATGAAACACTGTACACGTTGAAACCGGTCCAGCTTTGCGTGTATTGAATCAATGCTGCTGAAATTATATGCTTCCAAAAGGCCGTGGGGCCGATGGGTTGTGTACGAAACAATATATGAATAAACATATTCTGTGCATCAGTCACTGACACTCAATGTACTCTATGATTGACAGCTTGGCTCAGACAGAGGCCGTGATGTTACTCAAAGGCCACACAACAGCAATTATTTATTTATGAGGCCAGTCAATCATCCCCCCTCTGCCCCAAGCAGTCAGCAACAGCTTTATCCAGCCCTCAAACCTATATAATTTCAGAGCCAATAACTTCAATAACCACGAGCACCTCAACTAAGCCCCTTCAGAGGCTGTCCATCACAGGCCTTTGCACAGAGGGCGCTATCACATTTTCACAGAGACACCATCTGTGCACGCAAGGCGTCAAGAGCCGCGACCCCCCCCCCCCCGTGCCACACGCTCACACTCCTAAACTTCCCCCGCGATGTGCCCGCAGCTGCCGTCATGGCAGGCAGACAGATACGCATCGGTAAAAGATTAACCCAACCTTCTCCTAGTCTACATTTCATGGGCTATTTTATCACCCCGGGGTTACTGTTTACAGGACCAAATCAATCCTGTAAAATATTAAGTTACTTCCAGTTGGAAGATAAATTATGGCGGGGGGGGGGGGCAATGTGCTATAGTTTTTTTAGCCATTTCATGATATAGTTGTGTGGGTTTGTGTAAATGTGTCGTAAACCCACCTCCACCCGACACCAGCTAATGGGCAGGGTTTGTCACGTGAACAGAACCTACCACTCAGTTACTACTTCAGCACACTGGTGTGCACACTTGGGTGTGAAGTAGAAACAACGTGGCACACGTTCGAGAGAGAGCCTACGTTGTAAATTAGCAAGACAATTGCTTCGTCGGCAAGCAAACGATAAAATTGTTCATAATAAAAGTGTTTGGGTTATATCGCGTTATTTATAAATGTGTCGTAACCCTCCACCACCCGACACGGCCAAACAGTAAAAAAATGTGTCACGTTTACAAAGGACAAATAGTTCACTACTTTAGCCCACCGGTATGTTGAAGAGTGAATCAACATCATTTAAAATTTGAGTAGGACGTTTCGCTGGTAATTACATCCAGCTTCATCGGGCGATTTGCCAGAATGGTGAGGCTTCTCCTCTTGCTCCCGGTCTTAAATAGAGCAGCAGCACCAGCAGGGTGACGTCATCATTCGGGTGGTGGAGGGTTACGACACATTTATAAAAACGCGATCCAACCCAAAAACCTTAATTATGAATAATATTGGTCGCGAAAGCCTACGTGTTAAACTGATTAAATTGTGTTGCGGTTCCACTTGCTTTGGCAAATACGTTCAGAAGATCAACTCTTGAGGGTGGCTGGGAGGCTCAGAGGGCTAACGCCGTGTCACAGCACTGAGCCTGTATCAAGGATCTGAAGCTGAGCAAACCAACTGTGACGAAACCAAGTTCTTAAGTGTCACAAGTTGATGCGCAAAAACACCCATCATATTAAAGTTGGTTTTAACTTAAGCCACGATATTTACCGTCTCTGACAATCTACAAAGATATTGGTTTGTCTGCTACGCAATTAACTTCTCTAGAGCAGGGCACGTGAGAAGGTGTAGTAGAGGCAAGTGAAGTGACTCCGAAGTTGGAAATCCACAAACAGTCACGAATGAAATGCAAGATAAATATTTTAAGACATGGGCTATTTAGCGCTCCGATTTTTTCAAATTGTGCTGTGTGTTGTTCACCAAGAAAGTCCAAAGTTTTGCTCCACGTACTGGGAGCTTCTTTGGGAACTGAACTGAAGAAGCTTCCAGGACGTGGAGCGAAACATCGGACATCACAATGCGCAACGCACGGCACGACCCGAAAACACACCGGAGAGCTGTAACAGCGCGGCCGCAAAAACCTAAAGTGTAGGTTTAGGGATATGGGTGTTTTGAGTTGCATCTTCTTTAAAGTGTCTGCCGCAGATACACTGCCAGATTCAGTGGTTGCTCAGTGTACTGGGGGCCTTTGGAATTCAGTTTAGAGAAGTAGAGGAGGCATTAACCTGATGACTCTGCAAGTTGTGCTCAGTAAACTAACAATGGCTCTCTGGTTCTCTGGCCTTGGCAATCACCTTCTGCTGATAAAAAAGTATTCCACTAATGTGGCAGCCCAAATGGATTTCTGCCTAAATGACCTCATTCTTGTTAATTTTACAGCGATCAACATTTTTATATGGAAAGTGCCAACTTGCTGGCACCGGGGGCAAGAAATTGCCACCCACTTTGGGCATCTCATTATGTAACTCGTTCTGAGCTGTATAATTTTTTTTTTCATTGCACGGGTGTGAGGGGGATTTACTCTACTATGGTGTTTACGCACTCTACTGAGGTCATATGCAACATCACGTTCCATCTCCTCGATCCGAAACGTTTAGAATATTCGGTCAGAAATTGACGTGGCACAATTACGGCGAGACAACTGGCCGGGCTTAGGTAGGTGGCTAGACATTCATTAAAATAAAGAGCTGTGCATTGAGACCACGATGTGCTTTGAAAGAAAATACTGAAGGAATCGTAACGAACAAAGCTGGTGCAATGGATTAAAAAACACTGACAACACTAGGAAAAATAGCCACGCAATAGTATAATGCATTACAGTTCCGGCTATAATGTAACACTAAGAATTGTATAAAGCGACAATTTTTAACTAATTTCAAACACCATTTCAAATATCATTACTGGAAGTCATCCTAAATTGTATTATTTTTTGAAAAATGTAATGCTAAAGTCTGGGTTTTTGCAACTGTGCTGTAAAACTCCATCTTCAGTTCAGGAAATATTTAGTTCCTTACTCTTTGGTTCTTTCGGTAAAGTCACGACGTTTCGATCGCCACACAAGCAATCGTCTTCAGCTGGGAGAGAGAAACAGGCTGCTGAAATAAGTCCTTATATTGATTTGAAGCTTTCGTGACTGCAGGAGTCCAGAAGGAGCTCCCCCCAGCACTTGTAGCGAACTGTCGGACATCATCCTGAACAACGTGCGGTGCAGCGTGAAAACGCATCAGTCGATTGCTACCGGGCGGCAGGGTGGTGGCGCAGTGGTAACACTCATGCCCCGCAGAGAGAAGGACCTGGGTTCGATTCTTACTCAGGTGCCTTTGTGTCTGGAATTTCTATGTTCTCCCCCTGTTTGGTGTGGGTTCTCTCAGGGTTCTCCTGTTTCCTCCCAGAGCTACAGAAAACCACAATGTAACTGATGTTGGCCAAACATCTCAATGCAAAAAATTACCTCCGAATTACTCAATTTGGATTAAACACAACAGTAGCAACATCGCCCCTACTGGGAAAACTTGGCAAGACCCTCCTAAAAAAAGTCTTGAGACTCAGTAAGGATTTCCCTGGGTAGACAACCGTAACAATAATTATTAATTGCCAGCAAAGCATTGTTACATTATGTTGATATCACCGATGTTAAAATGGCTGATGATTTGCTTTCTGTTAAAAAGTTAAATTTACAGCCAGGCTTGAGGAGAGATTGACACTGTTGGATAGATACGTACAACATAACGAATCGCATTTGGCTGCCATCTGGTAAGATAAGGCTCGGCAAATTGAATTGATATTATCAAAGTAATGCACGTTGATTCAGCTTCGGGTCTGCACTCGCTGTTGGTGAGATTAGCTATTAGAAAAGCAACGACAAAGCATGACAATCAATCCACCCAATTTCATGATGTCTGCTTTTGCTAATTTTTTGGGGGGGAGGGGAAAATCTTTTCTCTAACATTGGATTTTCTAATACATCAATATGAACTTAAACTATAAAATAAATAAATATGCATGTACAGCGGCACATTCTACATGCGCACAAGTCATTGCTGGTAAAAAACAATGACTGACAGTAAGAAAAACCTTAGTATGAAATATAAGACTAGGTTGTAGCCTTTCTGGCAATAAAAAAAGATGTTAAGATGTTCAAACACCAAATAGAAAACTTTTGCATACTTTGATACTGGCAAAAAAAAGATCCCATAATATAGGAAAAACCTTGTTAATAGAACATTCAGTGTAAATTCCCTGCATTGTGAAAAGTGTTGAATTTCCTGCAGATAAGTCTCTCCCTTGTTGGCTTGTGTGGCAGCGTTTGCACCACAACCGAAGGCTTAAGGTCGGTCACCTCACAGCCAGTTATGACTTAAACTGTTCAAGTCATAAGTCATAACTGGCTGTGATGTTTCCATCCTACCTGCCGATGTTAGCAGTTATTTCCGACTCTCCGAGTTGCATTCCTCGATGTGGCGGTGGCTCCATTGACATGCTAATCTTTCACGACACAACGGCCAGCCCAAAAGCTTTGGGTGCCCTCGATCTTCCTTCTCTAACCCCGCCCACTTACCCTTGGGCTGCACCCATCTCAGGCCTATATAACACCCTGCTTCAGCAGTTATCTAGTTAGATTTTTTTTCACCTGAGGACGATTGCTTGTGTTGCGATCGAAACGTCGAGATTTTTTATTTTTCTATCTACGTGACTTTACTGAAAGGCCCAAAGAGTATGAATTCCTGCAGTCACGAAAGCTTTAAGTCAAGATCTATCCTATACTACTGGACATCTGTGAAAAAATAGCTTATTGGACTCCTCCAGTGTCAATACAGATTCTGATTATTGCTTCATGCTCTCTAAAAATATAATTCTGAAGACACATGCAAATTGAAAAGCGCTACAGAAGCCATGCATAGACATGATTTTCCATCCTTGTTTTGTTCCATGAATGGCTGTGCCAGCTCAACAAGTTTGTGGGCTCACTTGGCGTTACGATAAAGCTGCAGCGATTTAATCGCACCAGAAATGTTTACAATGTGGGAAATTGTTTTTGTTGCTGGTGGGGTCTCGTTTAGTCAGCAGCTCAGCCAAAAAGGCAGTTGGGTGAAGAAAAAAAACAAGTGACTTATATGATAACATGAGAGGTTCCATGGAAGTAAAAAACAAATGAAGCAATGATCAGATTGTGTCAGGACTACGCACATTGTTCCTCTTCAAAACGTGGCTTGGTTTGACTTTCTGATGATAATGACACAGTCAACAGTGAAACTGTGAAAATGAAATAGTGTTAACAACACTGGCTTGAGTACTCGTGTAATGCCTGGCTTCCTTAGGCGGCCATTGACACGTTCCTTGCATGTGAACTCCATGGCATGACTGGCCATGGGATGGACTTCACCACGTATAATGTGTGTTGTCGGCTGAGGCCAAGTCAGCCAGAGTATTTGATGGTCCTGTTTTGAACGTCGGGGCATTTTTCTCTGTTTTATGTTTACAAAAAAAGACAATGTAAAAAGCAGTTTTTTTGAGAAACACAACTGCCAAGCTCCACACAAATATATTATTACAGACCTACTCGTTACACCTTCCCCTACAGTTAGAATCTTATTGCCGAGATGGTAGGTGATTCATCAACCATGCTTTCCAAGTGACTCGAATAGAATGTGTGCATCACCATCATAGTTTGGTCATGATTCAGTGGAATTGGTTTGGCGGTTCTTTAAACTTGGGGTGCAGCGGAGTTTGACTTCCGGCAATGGCTATTACCAGTGGTTGAGTAATATCTGAACCGCTCCTGGACCCCCGAGCACTGACCAGTGTGGCGATGCATGGTCAAACAACCCCCAAGACCGAAATGCATAGGCAGGCATTTATCCAGAAGTAGACTAACAAATGGCAGTAAATTATTGTACATTATAAGACACATTCATGAGATGAGAGCTCATTGTTGTTGGTTTGTTCAAGCCGCTAGTATATTTAGAAAAGCAACTTCAACGATAATTCATTTACAGAAATCTACTGCCAGTTCTTGCGGGCAGACTTCAACTGATAATGAATAACAAACCGCTGTGCCTCCTCCCACGTTAATCACAGACTCTTTGGCGCCTTGACCCAGACAGCGATCCGCGCATGCCAACACGCGTGCATTTGCCGCTCTTACCAGTGTGTCCACCCGGCAGTGGGGAGTGAGGCCTCGGAAGGGTGGGTGACGTGTTGGTCACAATCAGGCTCTTCCTGTTGCTCGTGCGGCAACTGAAAACACAGAGCAGAGAAACACGCACATGGGTTTTGAGTCACCGGTTCGTATGACCGAAACGCACCACGACCACGAAACATATTCTTGCGGATATGTTTTGATGTAAGCAAAGGAATTGTGTGTACCGGGATGATCTGCAGGAAGGTATGAAACTGTGAAATGATTTGTGAGTGGGTTTTGGGTAGGTGGGTTGTGGATAGGTGGGTTGGTGGGTAAGGGAGGTAATGTAAGCAAGTAGGTCTGTGGGCATCCTTTATGCAAAGCAATTGAGAACCCATTGAGACAATACGTTTGTTTTGCGAGATAGACGTTGAGAAATTGCAAGGTGAATTGCAGGTGCCAGGGTCGAAGGAACAGCATTAGTATTGGAGTGAAAAAGAGAGAACGTGTCAGAACCCTGCTACCAGAAATAGAGGTACTTAATGAAGACACATTTTGAAAAGTTAACAATACTCTTTAGTTTGAAATAACATTAATATTACAGATTCCATAACACTGCAAGACTGTGAAGATGTTACATGTAATTATTTATTCTAAAAAATACATTAATTTGAATATTTTTCTGGGAAGCACACCTTTTGATTTGTAATATAACACTAAAAACGAAACAAAAAATGTATTTTACCAGGTAAGGCCCACTGAGTTAAATAGCTCTTTTTAAGAAGCAACCTGGACGCAAATGATAGCTTAACGAAGTGGTTTATATTCTGAAAGCATGTTTCTAAATGTGGAGGGAAAAACCAGAGGCCCCAAAGAAATTTCCAAGCGACCACGGGGAGAGACAACGCAAGCTCCAAATATACAGCAGGCGTCAGGGTCGGGATCGAACCCACAACCTCCTGCATACCAGGCGAGGGAGTTAACATCTCGCCATCAATATGTTGATAATTAAAATTGTCATCATTGGCTGTATCAACTTCTCAATCAACTCGACAAATATTCATAAACACACTGGTGACAATTACTTAAACCACATCCTGTTAACTTGGCTTTTCAATCACAAGATGCTAATATGGCTTGTGTTAAGGGTTATGCTTGAGTGCAGGGTGCATTGCAAAATAGCATGAGGATAATGACCATGATGATGACCATGATGATGACCATGATGATGACGAAAGACGTGGTACACCGAGTACATGACTAAATTAATGAGTGATCAAAAATGGTGAGACAGCACGATGCTTTCATGGAAGTGCATGTCAAAACATGACATCATCTACTACTCTGTTCTCATCTTACTCAACTCCCCTCCGCGCACTCTCCGACCTCTCCTCTCTCAAGAATCAGAATTTTTAAGTCTGGAGGAAGCTCTTTTTCACAGATGTCCAGTATGGGCAGACTTTCAAACAAAGTCCACAGTCATCATCCGCTCAGTGGGAGGTCGCTCATTCTCCCCTGCTGCCCCGAGTGTAGGAATCTTTCCAGGCTCAAGATCTTCTTGTTTCTGTACAGCATCTTGAGATGTGATTGTATATAGATACTGTATAAATCACAATAATAATAACATTGTAGGGACAACCCCCTCCCTAGAATGCAGAACAGACTTTACATAAACGTGTCCCTAACAAATTACGCAATTAATGAGCAGTTCATTTTCACAGGATAGAAAATCGTCAATGTTTCAAGGGTTTTTTTGTTTAACCTGGTGAGAACTCAAGAGACCAGGATAGTCTCATTTGAGGCCAGGACAGTCTAATTTGAAACCAGGATAGAGTCTCATTTGCAAAATTACGAACATGCAAAAACATATTTAATAGAGAGATAAATTCATGTCATTATTATTCTGTAAACAAGTATGATAATTAAAATAATGTTGCATTTCAACTCCACAAAGAGCAAAAAGAATCGCAGACGAGGATTTTCCACGAGCCTCTTCCAACGTCCTACAGCCGACCTCATGTGTGCATAGTGTGGCACGGCAGTCTTGCCAGCCAGCCTGGGACCGTTTCTCTTGGCACAGTCGAGCACGTCACTTCTCAACGGTGAGAGAATGTGCTTTCACCTCACTAATGCATTCGCCAGTGGAATGAGACACGCTGATCATTCATTTGTAAATACTCCCTTAGAGGAACATTTCAGCTCCTGATAAATCCCAGAGAGAATGTAAATGACTGGTTAATCCAATGTTAAGCCAACAGTGTAAAGTATTTTTGTATAAATTACTGTTATATGTGTGTACAACCCCCAAATATACGGTAGAGTGGTTAGGGCAACAACCACTCCAGGATAAATGGTTTTCGACCATTGCGCAAACACAGAATACCATTGAGTGTTTTATCCGGAAATCAATCTGATTCATAACAGACTCTCCGTTCTCCTCTCGTGACAGAGTACAAACACAATCAACCCATAGGAAGCGGTCAGACACGTCAGGGTGCGAGAATACTCAACCGTCATACGTTTCCACATGAGTAGGTCTTGCGGGAGTCACAAAAAACTATTTAGTTTGTTTAAAAACATTTAAAGCAACGGCCATCCATCGCTGCGTCCGCCGTGTGTGCATTAAACGAGTTGGAGGAGCAGCATCGCAACAGCACAATGCGTTACGTAGCCCCAGCAATACAGGTTTAGATAATGGCCACAATGCACAACTGCAGTGGGCAAACAGGCATCTGAAGCCGGTCTGGGCCTTCCCAATGTAAGTTCAGCGAGATATTCGCAAAGCTCGTGTGACCACCAGCGCTGCCGACACACAAAAGGCGGATGGACGTGCGTGGTGCTGGCCCCACCGTATCCTCACTTCGTGCCGGCCTTAATCGGCACTAGCTGCTGTGACGGCATCCTAACATCCTGTACAAAGCTAAACATGGGGATTTCTTTGTCTGCCGGGACAGGGCTTAATGAAGTCACCGCTGAATCACCGAGAGTAAATGCTTCGATTGGGAAAGAAAAAAAAACACAGAGGGCGGAGGATCCTTTTTTACATAACAGCCCCCGCCAACTTGGATGGCGAATTAACAACGCGCCAGATGGCGACGACTGTTTCCATCCCCATCCGCCGCTCGCTGGGCGATGCCGGCTGAATTAGCCATGTGTGAGGTGATTGCGTTGCTCCGCCGTTGATGTGCAGACGCTGGAATGAGACTAAATTTGTGCGCGCGTGGAAACGCACCGCGCTGCGGGAGAGATTTTTCAGACAGAAGGCCAATTTGCCCATCAGAAAAAAAATCAAAGAACCACTTCAACGTGCAGATGTGACAAGGCAGAAGGGATATTACTGCGTACGCTCACGTGGTTGTGCTTCCCAGCTCTCTCTTTGGGAACTGAAGAAGCATGTGGAGGAAAACGTCGGACATTATCACAGAGAGATGAAGTGATAGACGATCCCAGCTGGGAAGCACAAAGTGTGCCAACTCCTTTGAAGTGAACATTAAAGACTCGGTGACATTATTTGAAAGAGAAGGCCATTGTGTGCAATTCCACATAAATATTTAACTTACTTATCAGGACATTATTTTTTACCAAGAAAATGTATGTCCTTAAGTAGCTAAAGAGTATAATCTGTCACCTAGTTAAATGACAATAAATTCAGGAGTGAATGATGCACGAGGAGCAGGAAGGCAGACCCCACATGTGTAGGTAACATCTTAGGAAGAGTAAAAAGAGCTTAGGGTCACAGGTAGGGTTGAGTGCCAACCCACACTTTTTTTCTTTTACCAGGTAAGGCCCACTGAGCTGAATAGATCCTTTTCAGAAGTGACCTGGCACAAATGATAGCTCAACAAAGTGGCTTTTATGGAAATTTAAAGCAGCCAAATACTGTAAAAGCATGTTTCTAAATGTGGAGGGAAAAACCGGAGGACCCGGAGAAAAATCTACGCGACCATGGAGAGAGACATGCAAACTCCAAATATACAGATGTCAGGATTGGGATCGAACCCACGACCTCCTGCATACCAGGCGAGGGAGTTAACATATCACCACCACGGCACCCACACTGATTTGCATAGAGTGAAACTTTGACTTTGCCTTGAACCACAAATACTAATACAACCGTCTTGGTGCCTACACCAAACAATTGGGAAGAAAAAAATATATTCCATAAGAGCACGTTGGGGATAACTCCTCTTTGCCAAAAACGTCACGTTTCATCGCGACACGCACACGCGCGCAGCGTGGCCTGCGAATATCTGGCGATTTCCCCATGCCCCCACATGAGCAAATCCGCACGCCGGGGCCCGACGACGCGGGGGACCGTAATCGCTCGTCTCCAGCTGGCCTCTGGCTGCCAGCCGCCGGCGCCTCAACCACGGGCTGCAGGCGGCACACACCACCACAGGATGTGGGGGTTATTTTGTTCCTCAACAATTCTATTTCGGTGGCTTTTATCTCAGTGGACGGCGAAACACTGTCACGTGTGGGTAAATTGAAAAGAAAGTCGGTGCTTGTAAAGTCGTCACCAAATTGGGAGATCAAAATCTCAAGCAGCTCAGGACAGCTTTGGCGAATAAGTTTGCCCGCAATGCCGGGCTCTTCCTGCGTTTGCCAGCGGGTATCCACTCGAGATGAAACCACGTTATCAAGGGGAGCAACTTTTATTGCCTCAGCCTAGTCATCAACACACTGGCATACAGGTCCGAGAGATATTTATTTCATAAATACACGAGGTGAAGGGTGGAGTGGTGGCACAATGGTTGACGCATTGCACGACGAAACAGACGATCCGATTTCGATTCCCAGCCATGGATAACAGCAGTGGCGAGCGATATCTAAACAGGTCCTGGAGCCTTCCCCCCTTTCGCCACTGACCAGTGTGGTGAAGTATGATCGTATAACCTTCATGAATGACACTGTGTGCCAAGGCTTTCATCCAGCGCCAAATGGCTATGTACATATCAGATGACTAACATTCGACAAATAACTATTTACAGAGCATAGAGTGGTGCCACCTACTGTCGGGCTGAGAGTCATATTGAATCAAACCGAAATGCAGTTGTGTAGTGTCATCTTCCAGGGCTGCTTTCAGCCATGACACTTGAGGCTTTGCTCCCAGGAA